AAATGGACCTTGGGTTAAATGGGTCAATATTAATTCAAACTGAAAATATTAAATCAAATCAGTTCAAATTAGCCGCCAAAACATTTTTTCAGACAAACGTATGGGGAAACGTACGCATGCGCCGTCAAGGGTAATCAATGTCACATCAAACGGTCATTGCATTAAATAGGTGACCATAAGTAGGTTTTCATCGAAGGAATATAAGTCACTAAGCCACTAGTTAAGAAAGTCGATCAAGAATCAAAAATAATTCTCAATAGGAATTCAAATCTCTCTCATCGCAGTGTGCTCATCAAGATTGAATTCCTAGGGGGGCATTTGTTAAGACCACTCGAAAAACATGAGACTCGAAAGTTACATTTAATTGGTCATTCGAAAGAATGATGTAGGGAGGAAACCTATCGGGAGCCTTATTTGTTTGTATTCGAGACATGGTCGAATAGAAACTGGTCGAGTAAAACAAAGAGATGCTCGAAAAATGGAAGAAAGAGGCTACTAGAGGTTTTCAAGTAGTGTTTGATTATCCTAGTGAAAAATAAATCGAAGAGATAAAAACACGTGGAGCGAACGGTTACGAGAAGTTATATTTCAAACCCACGAAAAGGACGTAGTGGCGAACGGTTACGAGAAGTTATATTTTAAACCCACGTAAAGGACGTAGTGGATGACAGTTATGCGCCCATGATGGATTCACGCAGGAGTAACCACCCTCGAGGAGAGTTTATAAATACGAGAACCATACCCCATACAAGAGGTCAGAAAACTCATACATGAACTGAACTTTCAAGCACTCTCCGCCTGCGCATATGGCTTTCGTGCAAGGAATTATTTTTGGGTATGACTACTTCTCGACCACTTTTCTTTTCTCTTTTTAGGATTAGAATTAGTGTAGTTTCCTTTTGTTAATCATGTAGTTTAGTTGCATAATTATGCTTCAACATTTCAATTGTAATTCTATGCAAGTGAACCATGATCTGTATTGCAAATATATGTATTGTTCATTTTGTTCATCTGAGTATTTATGTGCATGAAAATTATTACTTGTTAATTATTGATGAATATTTAAAAACAAGTAATTATTAATCTCTCTACTCCATGTTCTCTTGTTCCTCAAAATTCAAAACGTAATATACCTAAATTGAAACATTTGTCGTGCTAGTTCGAATAAAAAGAATCCATAAACAAATTCCACCATAAACAGTAGGGTAGAAGGAATATCGAGTTGTGTTAAAACTAACTAACAAGGTAACCAACTTACTATTTGCAAAAGCAAATGAAACAAAATATAAAAAAAAAAACACCAACTTGAGTTGAAATCAACAAGGTACATGATATCCAAGCGAAATAAATAAACAAAAAGGAACATCATAAAAAACATTTACTGGTTCATGCCCCAATATGACAAATTGAACACAACATCCCAATCTCACCAAACTCGATTTCACTTGTGAAATAACTAAACATTTCGGAAAAAAAATAATGGGTTAGCATTAAAACCAAAAATATTGATGGTTACTAATACTAAGTGTTGAAATATACAAATACAAAGAGAAAAATCCTTTGAAGAGAACCTATTTCTTTGTCAAGTTTGGTTAGCATTTGGTGAAGCAATTGAAGGTACAACTTTGTTGCTTGTTCTTGTTCTTGTTCTCTCTTTGAACAATGAGATTAGTAGTAGAAATTGATTGAAGGTCATCATAATTGTGCTTCTTCACTCTTTCTCTTTCATTTAAGAAATTTTCATTTCTTTTTTTCGTGTGATATGTGCAAATGTGGCAAAAATCACTCAACTGCACCGAATAGATTGTTTGAACTAGTCATACCATTTTTTTAAAAAAATTTAATGTATCATATTATAAATTATTTATATTCAACCATGCATATGACAAATCTATTCTACTCTTATTACATTATTACTAACAAGTAAAAAGGCACTATGTCTCTTCATTGAAAAAAAAAACTTAAATAGCTAATATCGATAGAATTAATGAACTATTAATTTATAATTTTCTATTTTATTTTGAAGAGGAACATTGGTAAAAAGTAATGAAATATTTTCTCTCATATGTTTTATTTTCCAAATAAACTTCACATATTATCTTATAATTAGCCAAAAAAATCCCTCTTAATCATTTGAAGTCACTATTTTATTATTTAAAGAAAGTAATAAATGCATCAATATTATAAAGCATTTTTAGCCAATCAATTATAAATGTATGTATAATAATTTTATCAATTTTTATAACATCATAGTAGTGACCTGTGTGATGCACATATTGTTATTATGTTTCTAAAATTTCAAAATTATCCTTTTAGTTTTATGTTTATTACATGTTATTTAATGTCGTAAAATATAAAGTTTAACAAATGTTACTTTGATTTTGTCAAAAAATAAAAGCATACATTACTTTCTTTGATAGTTTACATACATTATATTAAACTTTCACACACACTCATATATATATTGTTTTGATTAGTATCTCTCTGTTTGTTCTTTAGATTGATTATTATAAGCTTTTCTATTATATAATGTTTTTTTTTGTGCATACGTTTCTCAAATAGTTTTATATATCTCAATTATGGAGAAAAGATAAATATTAGAAGAGAGAGTTGAATAGTGTGTATTAAAAATTCACATGTTTTTCGTAGTGAATTAATAATGTTAGTTAGATGAAGTGTGAAGAGCAGTCAAATGGAACACTAGGTATTTTTATATTGATTCATTTTAACCATCGAGACTACATTTAATTTTCAATCCAACCACATTGAGTTCCATTATTTTTAAACAAACATATAAGTATTATTTTAACAAGTCACTTCCGATTCAATCCTAAGTATTCTTTGACTCGCCTCTTCAAATAACTACCCAAGTATTATTTTAACAAAAAGTCTTTCTAGACTTAACAACTAAGTAATCTTTTACAGTTAAGTCTCTCCAAACTCAAAACAAGTATTCTTTTTTAGACAAGTCTTTCTAGGCTTAAAAGAAGTATTCTTTTTCAGAAAAGTCTCTTTAGGCTCAACATTATAACAATGGTTATGAAGGTCACACAAGTGTTGTGTTTGTCTCACTTAGACATTATACAATCAGTATAGAACAATGAATATTCACAAGAAAGAGTAGATTTTTAGAAAGTTTGTTTATGTACAAAGTATATGTATCACTTAAAATTGGTGTCTTTGTCTTTCTTATGTTTTGAATCTTCTTATATAGTAGCTTAGAAAAGATGACCATTGCAACATTTTGAGTCCAACTGACAAGTTTGTTTAGTTTGTCTTCATCGTCTTTCCTTGTGATGGTAGATACTATTTGGCTCATTTAATGCCAACATTAAATGTATTTCACCATATGGTACCTCTTATACGTATTAACTTTTCATACCAAACAGAGCTTGTAGAAGTAATGTTAGTGTAGAGCAACTATAATAATGACTTTATATGTTTTTCTCCATGATTTTAGGATCTTGGTTTTGATGGAAAACATGATTTTTTTTAACAAATTTATGAGTTTCAAGATAGCTTTTTGGTTTAATTTATGAAGGAATGAATCATTCAAAACAAACTTTGTCACTAGTCTTAATGAATAATAAAAATTTAATATATTTGTGACAAACTATATGCTTCACCTACTTTACAAAGTCTCATAGACGATCTATGTCTTACACTTCATCTTATAAATTTTTTAAATATATTTTTCAAAGATATTTTTGTAGACATTTCTTCTTTATAAAAACGTTTTGTTTGTTAGCATTAAAACTCTGAGTTCAGGAAATGTAAATCATCTTTTGACTTAACATCAATTCCTCATAGTAGCATAATTTTTGCTATACTATAAAACATGACAACTTAAATATCATATATATTTTGACATCATTCTATAAAATATTAAATAAGGGTTTTAATATATTTCTAGTCTCTATAAAATAAGTGATTTTATTTTGTCCTATAAAAAAAATTCTTTGATTTCCATCTCTCAAAACACTACTATAAAAAGTCAATTTAGCCACTGAAATTAGCGACCGATTTTTTCCGTCGCATTAGCGACCAAATCTGATTTGGTTGCAAATTTTATTTAGCGACTAAATTTTTTAGTAGCCAATAATCAGTCGCTAAAATAATAATTACCCTTTTTGATATATCTCCAATGATATTTTCAAGAGGATGATTTCTTAAGATTTTCCACTCTCTTTGAGGGTTCATGTTTGTTTGATCTTCTTGGATTGTTGAATCCTCTCTTCCTTCATCTTCATTATCATTTTGAGTTTGCTCATGAATATGAGTGTCTTTAAGGCTTTCTACAATATCATCAATAATATCTTTTCTTGGACAAACAATGTTAGTCTCATCAAATACAACATGAAATGATTCTTCTATAGTCATGGTTCTTTTGTTGTATATTCTGTATGATTTGCTATTTAAAGAGTATCCAAGAAATATCTAGAGAAATCATCTACTAAGACAAGACCATAGTAACTTCCACCAAAGCTCATAGTTCTAGAGGGTCCAAACAAGTCCATATGCAAGAGTTCTAAGGGTCTAGAGGTTGTAACTATATTCTTTGGTTTGAAAGATA